GTGTGTGTGTGTGTGTGTGTGTGTGTGTGTGTGTGTGTGTGTCAGCCTTGTTCTCTGTTAAGCATGCCCTGGCTGCCCTGTTGCAGTGTGACCTTTGACCTGGGAGAGGCCATCTCTGCTTCTGGCCGGTAGTCGAGGTCCTTGCCCTGCAATGGAAGGAACTGGGGTGGGTGGTCAGACCATCGGGCAGGTGGGGAGTGGGGCAGGCATTTCCATCCCTGCCTGGTCTGGCTCACTCGCAGTCACCCTCTAGGGCAGAGTAGAACCGGCCCTTAGTATTTCCAAGGCTGAAATCTCTACTGGAGTAAACGACCACATCTTTCTCCTGCGAAGTGGCTGATAGGTTCAAACCATTGACCTTTCAGGTAAGCCGTCAAGTGCTTAACCACTTCGCCACCAGGGCGCCTTCATTCTGTGGAGCCATGACTTCCCTACTTATACATCAATGGCTATATCCTTCCTCGCACCCCATTATTTAGCCCCTAAACTATTTAAGATTGCTAGTGGCAAGGTAACCAGTTCAAATCCACCAGCGGCTACAAGGGAGAAAGATGAAACTGCTCTCTTAAAGATTTACAGTCTCAGAAACCCTTCCAGAGCAGTTCCACTCCATCCCATAGGATCTGTATGGGTCAGAAAGACTCAATAGCAGTGTGTTTGGTTGGAAGCTATTTAAAGCTGGAACCTCATACTGGCTTCTCCGGGATTGTCTGGCGCCTGCAGATGTTTTATGTGGTTGGCGGAGTGTTTATAAAAACATATGAATGGCTTAGAATGGGTGTGCGCTCATCCCTGTGTCTCAAGGCCCCCCCTCCCCACCTGCCTGCTTCCCACTAGGTTACCTGCCTGGCCATTGAAGGCATAGTGTCAGGTTAACAGAAGCGCTGCCCTAGCTACAGTGAGGCTGTGTGGAGTGTGCAGACCCAGACCACAGCTGGCTCCACGATCCCCTCATCACACAGAGCAATGTGTGATAGCATCGGAGTTAGATGGGTACCAAAGGCCCACCAGGGTCCCTAAGTGGTTTGCCCTTGGCTACTAACCTAAAGATTGGCAGTTCCAGCCCACCCAGCAGCGCTGCAGAAGAAAGGGCTGTCATGTCACGGCCACTGAATTGGCTCCAGGACAGCAACGCGGGGATTTGGTGTCATTTTGGTATTTATGGCCCTCCAGTGTGGGACCGACCTTGCGCTGGCTCACACTGGACTCTTGTTCCCCACCGTGGCCTCACTGCCCCCAGGGTCACCCAAGAGATAAAGAAAGAAGCACTGCCCGAGGCCTGCGGCTTTGGGCCTAGGTCTAAACCAGGGGTCTGCAAACTTTTGAGACGGAAGAGCCCATCCTGTCCTTCACGACCATTTAAAAATTATTTGAGAGTCATAGACATGTTTTTTGCAAACAAATGAAATCACCATTATCTGAATGCCATCCTTTAAGTTTGACTTCAAAGCCATATGCACGTCCCAAAAAAGCCACATATGGCTTGCGAGCTGGTTTGCTGCCCTGTGGTCTAAACCATCCCTGCCTCCAGGTTCCTAAGTTTGCAATTGCTCAGCCTTTCAGACCCCTACTGGCATGCCATATGGGACGGTGAACCTGCTTCACGGCGTGAACCCGGGTGAGACCCCAGTCACCTGTACAGCCGGGATTGGAACCTTCATTGTCGAATTTGCCACCCTGAGCAGCCTCACTGGTGACCCCGTGTTTGAAGATGTGGCCAGAACAGCCCTGACTCGCCTCTGGGAGAGCCGGTCAGATATCGGACTGGTGAGTCGGCAACTGCCCTTCCTGTTTCTGAGTCAAGTCTGCCACCTTGGCCCCTGCTTTCAGGGACCCTGAGCAACGCACAGCGATCCAGCCAAAGGAAACGTAGGGTGACCTCACCAAACACAGACCGAGCTCCCAATGAAAGTTTTGGCACAGAGGGGAAGAGAGCATGAGAGTCAGGAGAAGAGGTCTGCATGAAGCATTGGTTATTTAAGCTTCTCTGATCCCAGGGAGCAGGTTATGTGCTTTATGGCCCTGACTGGGAGATCTTCCCAGAGTCATTCCCGTCGGCTCCTCAGTTTTTAAGTGTCTGTATTTGCAAGCTGTTTTCTTAGAGTCTTGCATGGCTTTACCAACTGGAAGGAAATGGTTCCTGGCCAGTGACGTTTGGGAAATGCTCCTTACAGTATCTTTTTTTATGGAGTGTCGTAATGAATATGAGCAGACCAGAGGTTATGAAATCCTGTGGTAATGAAATTTATTGCAAGTGGTTTAACTCAACACTTCCCAAACTGCTTTTAGCTTCCCTTTCTCTTCAGACTGTAAATTAACCTTGGGAAATGATTCACATGCCAGGCCAGTCACTCTCCAGGGCTGCTTTCAGCTCCTTCTGGGCAAAGGTGCTTTTGGTGCGGAAGGCCTCCCCGTAGGAGAACCCAGACAGGCAGGACAGAGCCCTGCTGCTTTGGTTGAGCACCAGATGGGATGACCAGCTTCCATGAGCGGATCCCCACTTCCTCTCCTTATAAACAACCACTCCTGCTAGTTTCTTGAGTATCCTCACGGACTCCGTTTATGGCTATACATATATATATATCTTATCTTTAGACACTGAAATTACATGCGGGGCAATGAGAAGTTTTAGAAGTCTGAGACAGATTTGGGGAACAGCACATGCTTACCTCTGCTCTCTCACACTCACCCCAGGCAGTAGATAAACACTCTTGAGTTATCTACACCAATTGTTCACTTCTGCCCAGTGTGTATAATTGGATCTGCCTGATTGTGCATGAGCTGCATCTCCATGTACGTGGTGATCCAACACATCTCACCTCCAGCCTGGTTCCTCTGTACCCTGCATGTGCTTTCAAGAAACCCTGAGGTGCCAGCGGGCATCTCACCAAGTAGCCAGGGGCATCGGGAGAGTCTTCTATGGCTTGAGCCCTCCACTGAGACCCCCCTGTTTGTCTCCCAGGTTGGCAACCACATCGACGTGCTCACTGGCAAGTGGGTAGCCCAGGACGCAGGTATCGGGGCTGGTGTGGATTCTTACTTTGAGTACCTGGTGAAAGGAGCCATTCTGCTGCAGGATAAGAATCTCATGGCCATGTTCCTAGGTGAGAAGGTCAGGGCAGGGTGGCTTTCCTGTGATTTTGCTGCTGTCATCCCTGTTTGCTTTGTGTATATGTTCAAATACTCCCAAGTGCCTACAGAATCAATTCGGAATGCCCACATTTGCATTCAATAAATTTACACCACCCACTTGGTGCCCACTATAGCTCTTAGTGTCTTCAAGCCATAGACAGCTGCACTATGCTGTGTTCTCTTACCTCCTAGCCAGTGCACGTGGGGTTTGTCTTACTTAGATATCTTTCCCCTATCTCCAGGTCTCCAAATTCTATCCACCCATCAAAGACCATCTTGAATATTGCCCTCTCTAAGAAGTACCTTGATCCTTTCTCAGAATGTAGGCTCTTCAGTGTTTGCCTTGTATTTAACTCTTTTTGTTGTTGTTGTTGTATTTAACTCTTGTCAACAACCACAACTCTACCCCTTGAATGCAGAATCCAGTTCTTAGTTATCCTTATATTTCCCATGGTGCTTTTTTTATAAAATAGGTAGTAGATCCATATTTGCTGAATAAGCATATTTTATCTTCTAGGTGCTTAGACACTGATAGTAGTAATATATTGAGAAATTGTTGGGCACCGACTATATTTATTAGAGCTAATGTTCACTTAAATAGAAAAAAATTTTAGTCCCATTGGGTGCCAAGCACTGTGCCAAATGCTGAACATAGATTATGTCCTGTAATCATTTCTTCCAGTCCACTACTTGAAATGATTTCGTTTGTTGATGCACGGTGCCTATTTGGGACTTGGGTCGTTCTGATAAAATTAACTGAGCATATGCCATGTGCTAAGGAGTGTCCCAGGGCTGGGATTCCCCAGTGAGCACAGCGCAACCCCAGCACTCGGTGATTTCTAAGAGTGCAGATTTGAAGCTCCCACTGGAACGTGAGCCCCCTGAAGACTCCCTTTCATTTACCACAGCCCAGGCACTCAATGAATGCATGTTCGCTGAGTGAGAGAATCAATGAGTGAATGAATAACTTCATGAGATGGGTGATACTACTTTCCCCACTTGACAGACAATAAGACGGATGCCCCAGAGGAGAAAGAACATTGGGACAGGGTCACAGCTAGCGACTAGTAAAACTGGACCTGGAATTTGAGCCTGGAAGTTTGACTTCCAGTCTGTGCCCGTCCCCTTCTGCCTCATTGCCTCTGACTTTGCCTGAAGGTCAGACCATCATACGACCACCTTCCCAACGTGTAAGCCCCTGCTGCTGTCAACAGAGCCTGCCTTCTGCCTCCCTAACCCCATCTCCTCCACTGCAGAGTATAACAAAGCCATTCGGAATTACACCCGCTTCGATGACTGGTACCTGTGGGTGCAGATGTACAAGGGGACTGTGTCCATGCCGATCTTCCAGTCCCTGGAGGCCTACTGGCCTGGTCTTCAGGTAGGAACCATCAGAAAGGGTGGTTTGTTTGTTTTTAATCTGACAAAATGTTCTAAATTGACAAAGACAGTCACTCCGACATGCATCTAAGTCACACAAGGTACTCTTGGTTGTGTGAACACGCTACTTGGGAGGGGTGGGCTAGAGACAGAAGAGGGATTGTAGTGAGTTCGACAGATTGAAGATCCAAGCTGTTTTCCAAGGGAATTTTAAGGTGATGGAAACTCAGTCATGAAATATTAGGCATGTCTGCCACGTCACCTTGTTTGCATCCGCAAGCTTGAGAAGGGGCAGGGGGACAGCTCATGCTGCTCTCCACGCCATCCTCCTCCCCGCCCCCACCCCCTACCCCCACCC